GCTCGAACTCACAAACCGCGAGATCATGACCTGAGCCCAAACCAGGAGTCAGTCGCTTAAAGGACTGAGCCACCCAGGTGCCCCAAATCTTGGGCAATTTCTTACCCTTTCCGTGACTCAATGTCATCATTTGTTGAATGGGAAAAATAACAGTAACTACTTTATGCTGTATATGGTTATTACGACAATCAAACCGGTTGTGCATCCGAAACACTTCAAACAGCGTGTGGTATAGAATGAGCGCTTCAGAAGTATTCTTCCCCGGCGGGTTTGCGTGCTTTCAGCCCTTCCTCATTGACGGCTTCAAGTTCGATATGCGAATCTATGTCCTCATCACATCCTGCGACCCTCTTCGGATTTTCATGTACGAGGAGGGCCTGGCCCGCTTCGCCACGATGCCCTACGCGGAGCCCAACAACAGCAACCTGGTAAGGGGCCAGACGGTGGCCCTGGGGGGGGGGGGGGGGGGAACAGGGCGGCGCCCTCTTCTCCTGAGTGCTGAGGTTCTGTGCGGACCAGGTAGAAAGGCTTGTTGTCGTCACCCATGAACAAGCAATGGAACCAGCGAGCACCCTAACCCCGTGGCTGGGAGGAGAGCATTAGGTGGGTGGTGACCGCTGAAAGGTCCTCCCTGGAGGATGCCGGCCCACGCCCTTCCCTATGAGCTCACAGGACAGTTCTTAGGTGAAGAGGGCTGCTGAGGAGCCCTTGTCCCGGGGAGGGGAAGGTCGTAGAAAAGGCAAGGAAGGGCTGGAGAGGAGTGCTTCGGGGAAGCAGTCTGAGCGCCGCGGGGCCGCTCTCTTCCCAGGATGATGTCTGCATGCATCTGACCAACTATGCCATCAACAAACACAACGAGAACTTTGTCCGAGACGACGCTGCGGGCAGTAAAAGGTACTCCCGGCTCTGGTTGTGCCTTAGCCTTATAGTCTCAGCAGCCCCTGAAACTGAGCTGGCTCTTGGGAGGCCGATCGCTCAGGAAAACCACCTTCACAGACCCCTGTCCTGTGCTTGACCTCTAAATGCAGCCCTGCCCCCACCCTGAGGACCAACCCGGGCTCCAAGCTGCCAGGAGCCCTTTGAAGTGTCAGGAATCTAGGCACAGAATTAGGGTTAGCCATAGGGAGCCTCTTGCCCTCGGCCTGGCCCCAGTGGTGTAGAAACTGGTCCTCCTCTGAGCACTGGGCCTCACAGGAAGCTGTCGACGCTCAATGCCTGGCTGCGAGAACACGGCTACGACCCCCGAGAGCTGTGGGGGCACATCGAGGACATCATCGTCAAAACCATCATCTCAGCCCATTCTGTTCTTCGCCACAACTACCGCACCTGTTTCCCCCACTATCTGAGCGGAGGTACATGTGCCTGTTTTGAGATCCTTGGTTTTGACATCTTGCTGGACCACAAGCTGAAACCCTGGCTGCTGGAGGTGAGGATGATCTTCTGGGCTTTGCAAAACCCGTGGCCTGAGGCCTCCCTGAGCAGGACGCCTGGGCTAGGAGTGCAGTCAGGTGGTGCAACAGAGAATGGGGGACATGGCGGCCCTGGGGTGGGTAGGAATGGCAGAAGGCAGCAGGCGTCTACACTCTTGACCTGCTGAGTCCAAGCCTAGTGATCTCTGGCCTCCACCATAGGGATCCAGGAGTTGGATCCCAAGTGTTCCCCCATGGAATCTTTTTGTCTTTAGGGACACTGTATCTGTAGAGGCAGGCTGTCTGGTTTGCTCTCAGCAGCCTGTGTACCGGAGGGATCTCTGTGGCGGGGTCCCGTGGCCTTGGAAGTCAGAACATCCAGCCTCCTCGGCCGAGGCCTCTGGAGGGGGACATCTTGCCTGGACTGTCCAGTCCGGCCTGCCCGAGGCCACACGTGCTCAGGCAGTGTAGGAAGGGTGGGATGATGACTCCTCCTGGCAGGTAAACCACTCCCCGAGCTTCACCACTGACTCCCGCCTTGATCGCGAAGTGAAGGACGCACTTCTCTGTGATGCCATGACACTTGTCAACCTCCGGGGCTGTGACAAAAGGAAGGTGATAGAGGAGGACAAGCGGCGAGTCAAGGAGCGGCTTTTCCAGTGCCACCAGCAGCCACGAGAAGCCAGGTGGGCCACGTGTCTGTCTTCTTTGTCATTACTTTCCTGACGGGAAAAGTGCTCCTGTAGGTGGCGAAGAGAGTCTGGGGGTAAGGATTAGCTGTGAAGCACAACTGTGGGTTTTTTGGCACAGATGACGCATTTATGTATCACAGATAGTATGCTGGAAATTCAAAAGATCCTGTGAAGAATCCCTTCCTGTTCTCCGGCTACTCAGTTTCCCCCCGAGGAGCCAACCTATGCCATGTGTATGCTTTAGCAGTTAATGCACGCACACATACATAGGTGTGTGTATAATATATACCTGTAGAAATAACTTATACAGATGTTTTTCTCCCTTTACCTACCTAGACAGTAGTGTAACCTTCACACTCTCTCTACTACGTGTAGCAACACAGCTTAGAGCTATTTTCTATTAGCTCATAAGAAGCTCTTTGCTGTTTGATTGGCCGTTTGTTTTTGGTTTTGTTTTTTAATGTTTATTTCTGAGAGCAAGAGAGACAGAGGGTGAGAGGGGAAGGGGCAGACGGGGGGGGGGGGCGGAGGGAGACAGAGGATCCGAAGCGGGCTCGCTGCTGTCAGCAAGGATGTGACTCTAACCCACGAACCACGAGATCACGACCTGCGTGGAAGTCAGGCGCTCGACCAGCTGAACCACCCAGGGGCCCCTTGTTTTTGTTTTTAACAAAGGTCCTCTAGACAGGTCATAATAATGAAACAGAAAACAGTCTAGTCATGCAACAATAAGAGGTTATTTAAATCAGCATCTTTCACCCACTGTTGTTTTAATTATAAGATGGGTTACCAACACGGTGATTTGCTGCCGATACTAAATTAATGTTAGTAACACATACAAATGGAGTGGAATTGGAAGCATTCCTATTACAGTGCTCTTCCCCACCTGGGTTGTGATATGCAGGCCCATGTGTATTTGGTTTGCTGGGATATCCTGAGGGCCTGGCACATAGTAGGCGCTCTCACGTGTGAATGGAGGGGAAGCAGGACTGTTACTGGAAATACGCTGGCTCTTCCCACAGTGGGGCTGCACATGTGCCTGTTATATCATGAGTGATGTCTTTCAGTGGGGAAAAGGGTTCACAACTACTGGACTTCATAAATGAAAGTACAATCACAGAACCACGTGACTACTAGGAAGCCATTTAGCAAGGTTGTATGATCCTATTTTTGTCAGAAACCAGAAAGGAAGGTAGTCGGTGGCAAAGCCAGGATTCAGACTCGGGGGTCCCGCCCCTGAGTCCATGCTCATGAGCAATATGCTAACTGCACAGTAAGATTATGGGAGGTTTTATCTTCTTTTTGCTCTTCTACATTTTTCTGTAATTAACATAGATTACTCTATGATCAGAAACCTAAAAGACTGTGAGAACTTGGAGTGCTAGCTTGCACTTAAGATGAAAACCAGATTTCTGGAAGTCAAGCCCAGATTTCCGTGGCTACACACAAGCGGGATTGGCCAGAGGGCCTTCGCAGCCCTCGCTACATGGGCAGAGGCCAGAAAGGCCGTGAAGCTAGCAGAAGGTTCTCAAAGCCTTGGCCGGCCTTCTTTTCCCCACTGAACATTCTCAGAGCCCTCCCGACTCACTCTGGAGCTTGGTTTCCCTAGGCGAGAACAAACTGAACTGTCGCACGCAGCGATACTGGACCAGGAGCGCCATGAGGACTCCCACCTCGGGGGGTACCGGCGGATCTATCCTGGGCCTAACACGGACAAGTACGCACCCTTCTTCAAGCACAACGGCTCCCTCTTCCAGGAGACTGCTGCTTCCAAGGCTAGAGAGGAGTGTGCCAGGTACTTTGCCTTGCCTTGTCCTCTGTCCACTTGGGGGGCGGGGGCATATCCTGAAGCTGAACTGCTCGCCAGCAGGGTAGAGAGGAAGCCAGACACTTGAGCCAAGAGGAATGGAGTCATAAATTCTTTCAGACTCAGTAACTCCATATAGGAGGTTTCCCATTTCCCCCCTCATTCTTCTCTTGTCTGCCTCCCAGACAGATCTGATTTCCCACTCCCCCATCCCCACTTCCCCTCACCCTGCTTCCCCCCAACATAATCTCTCCAGTGTCTGAAGCTGCTGTGTCTTGTCAGACAGCAACTGGAAGAGATCCGCCTTAAGCAGGAACAGCAGGAGACCTCAGGAAGTAAGAGGCGGAAGGAGAGCCGGGACCAGAACCAGGGTGAATCAGCGAGAGAGAAGAGCCGATGCAGGGCCGGACTCCGGGGACTTCCCGCCCACTTGGCTTACAGGAACCGGAACCAGGAGAAAGAGGTGCCCGGGTTTTGGTAGCTCCTGCCTTTCAACAGGAAATAGGTTGGGTCTAGAGAAGGGAGGGAGAGGGAGAGGAGTTCCTAATGAATACGTTGGATCTGACCT